GTTGGTGGGAGAAAGGAGGGGGATGGTCAATTTCTCCTTGTTTTAAGATCCAAGGGGTTTGGATCTGTATTCACCAGGAGTTGGTGGGAGAAAGGAGGGGGATGGTCAATTTCTCCTTGTTTTAAGATCCAAGGGGTTTGGATCTGTATTCACCAGGGAATTGGTGAAAGGTTTCTCAAGGTTTCTCAGGGAAGGGAATTAGTCTTTGGGAATGGTGGCAGCGGACCAAATCTAAGCTGGTAATTAAGCTTAGAAGTCTTCATGCAGGCCCCCACAGTTGTACCCTAAAGTTCAAAGTGGGGATACAGCCTTGACAGTCCCCATGATGAATTGGAGGAACTGTCTATGGGCAGGGTATATTAGGATATGGAAATGTGTGTCGTGGAGGTTAAGGGCTGAGAACCAGTCCCTCAGTCCGAGTGCTGAGATAATGGTGGAGAGGGTAACCATCTTGAAGCGTTGCAGTTTGACAAACTTGTTTAGTTTTGAAGGTCTAGGATTGGTCTTCACCCACCAGATTTTTTTTTGGACCAGAAAATAATGATCTCTAGAACCCACTTGTCTGAAGTAATTAGCCTCCCTGATGGAAAGAAAGGGACTAGATAGTCGCCAAACTGGTGGGATGGCGGAGATTGCTGTTGTTGGAACAGGGGAAGGGTTCTTGGGGCCTCAACCACACCTGCAAAATAGTTGTTTGGTTGAAGGTGTTTAAGAGGTGGCCCCCTTGAGGAGTCGTATGTATGTGCTTGGTAGGGGGCTTTTGTTGACAGTGTTGAGTATCGTAGCATCGCTAGGGAGTTTATTGCGGTGGTCGGGATCATGGGGGAAGTTGGTATTTCCTTGGGCGTCTCTTCAGTGCTGGTGTGTAAAGGCAGAGAGAGATTGGAGAGTTGCTTGAAAGTCCTTAAGGGAGCGTAGGGACTCATCCATATGCTCCATGAATAATTCTGTTCCCTCAAAGAGTAGGTCCTTGATGGTGGTTTGTACCTCCTTACAAAGTTTGGAGAGGTGCAGCAATTATGCCGGTGTCTCATGACTATGGTGGTCACAATGGAATGGGCAGCAGTATCCATGAAGTCCAAAGAGGTTTGTAAAACTGTATGGGCCAAGAGGTGTCCTTCAGAACTGAGCGCCCGGAGTTACTTTTTTTTTTTGTCGTCAGGAAGGTCTTGGCAGAGTTCCTGCATTTTAGAATAGTTGAGACAACTGTACTTGTCCATGACAGTCTCGTAATTGGATATTCAAAATTGGAGCGTAGCAGATGAATAAGCCTTAGGGTCCAAATAGATCCAATAGCTTCCAGTCTGTCACGGGGGGTAGATCAAGATTGGTACTGGTGTCCTTTTTCATGCACAGCATTGACAACTAGGGAATTTGAGGTGGGGTGAGAAAAAAGAAATTCCATGTCTTTTGTGGCAATATAATATTTTTTGTCTGCCATTTGCAGGTCAGTGGGATGGATGCTGGTGTTTACCAGAGCACCTTGCTGGAATTGAGAATGGCCTCATTGACACAGAGGGATATTTTGGATGAGGATGTGTGCAGGATGTCAAGCTGTTTATGTTGTTGATTTTTCACTTCCTTCCGCCAAAGGAATCTGGAGAGAGTCCGCAATCCAGCAAAACAATGCTTGGAAGTGTTTGAAGTCATCGACTGCAGTAGGGAGGCGTCATCTTTTCTTCCCATGATAAGGCTAAGTGGAGTGACGGTGGAATTTCCTCCTCCTCATCAGCTATAGGGAGAGGCTCAGCCTCTGGTGGTCGAAAGACCAATGGAGATGGCAAATGTGTAGGTCTTTGGCTTTGTTCTATGGGACGCTTCCCAAACTGTGCTCTGTACATGGCCCAGGGATTCCAGAATGGCCAATGTGGAGGGAGTGGCACATGGGGTTGCATCTATGGTGGTCCATACCAGGGTCCTGGTCCAGTTGTGGATTGTGAAGACGTGTAGAGGATGCCTTTTGCGCCTGTCCAGAGTATGAGGGTGTGGATGGAGTACTCCTCCTTCTCTTCCTCCTCTGCATCGCTGGGTAAGGGCAGTGCTGTCCGTGGAGGAGAAAGAGAAGAATGGTGTAACTCCAGAGAGGAGGATGGAAGTGGAGAGAGGTCGTGTCTGAGTAGTGGTGACTCAGACATATCAGATACAAGTAGGTCCTTAGGATATCTGAACTCCCGGGGAGGAGCATCACCGGCACCAGCGCATCTGTACTGAGGAAGAGGTGCATTCCCTTGAGCAGCCAGCAGATGGAATTGAAGACTTGCTCGGTGCTGATGGTTTGCTTGGTGCTGAAATGGTCATCAGCACTGGCGGTATTGTTGGTGTCATAGTACCCGAAGTTGGTCTGGTCAGGGCAATTGGCACCATTCTTGAAGGTCTTGTGTCTTGATCTCCAGCGCTGAGACATGGTGCCAACGGCTGTAGGCCTGCCTGATCAGGATCTTTAGACCTTTACTTAGCTCCAGTACCGGAGGTACTTGGATATCCCTTGAGCTATGTCCCCTGGCCAAGGATGTCGAGACAACTGACCTCGCAGGGGATGATGTTCTGGTGGGAGGAGCCTCAGAGGGTGATGAGGGAGCCCGTTTCGTCCCATCAACGCAGGAAAGAGAAGATTTTCTTTTAGAGGGATGTGGCGAATGAGGGTTGGTGGACAACCGAGCAGAGCATGAGAGTTGCATGGGGGAGGTGTCCGGGCTAGGGTCCAATGCTAGATGCAGTGATTTCTCCATGAGGAGAAGTTGTAACCAAATGTCCCATTTTTTGCTTGCCCTCCCAGTCAGGTTGCAGCAATGAGTACACTTTTGCGGGATGTGTCCCTCTCCCAGGCAGTGAATGCACTGTGGGTGACTCAGTTACAGGGAAAGCATCTTGGCAGGAAATGCACCTCTTAAATCCAGGAGATCTGGGTATAAGGGTGAGGGAAAAAGCTTCCTGGTTGGGAAGGGCAGAAAGCGGGAAAACAAAAACCTAAGCTACGAACTAGCGGGGAGGGCAAGAAGACAGAAAAGTGATTTTTTTTTTTTTTAAGTGAGAGGATGAGAAAGGAAGAAGTAACTACTAAACTACACTAAAAATCAACAGGTAAGGCACTAACAGGTCAAAAGAAGAAGGGGCTCTGCTGCAGATTCCATCCCAGACCAAAGGGGGTAGAGAAGGGACGGGGGGCAGTTGGACCACACAACACTATATATACACATCCCACTCATGGCGGGAGATGGGAAGGTGTGCATGTGTGGTCCGATGGGCATTGCTGATGAAGATCTCTGATCCCAGTTGCAGGGGGCACTGCTGCACCTACAGAGGAGCACTATCGGGCATCACTCAAAGAAGAACCAGTAAATCTCTGTCACAGGATAGCCAGAGAACATATTCTCTCAGCAACTGAAGCCCCTTTGTGGGGAATGGAGAAGTATGAGACCTTTCAAATAAGTTTTCCTGTGAAGTTTCTGGGACAAGCAGTTTTTGGAGCTAAGATGGTCAAGAAACTTAAGTAGTGTAGGAAGAAATTTCCAAACATAAAACTAAATTCCATCTCTCAAAGCAGCTGATGCGAATCATCGCAACTGTGGTAAAGTAATAATAAAAAATCCAATAGGGATATGGGCAAAGTCTGTGGCTGAAAGAGGCCATTCTTGAAAATGTTAGAGGTGTCACATGGCCCAAACATGCATAAATGGAAAGTTAGTTCCACCCTTTGGAGAGCCATAAAGGTATATTTTGTTATTAACCCTTGAATAAAGGCAATTCTTAAGTGATCTAGAACTGTTACCACTACATTGTACTATCAGGTCCTTCTAATTAGGCACTATTTGCCCATGGTGTACATACACACACACACACACACGTTAAACACAACATGAACAGTCTGTAAAAATGGGAGAAAGGTATCCCATTTCCAAATAAAATTAGAGTCACATGGTATATTCTCCTCAGATATATTATATACATACAATACGCCAAGTATGGATTACATATTTACCCCCTTTTTACTGTAAGCACAGAAGAGTCTCAGTAGGTATAAAATTAATTATCTTGATTTGGCTGAGTTTTGGACTGATCTTTGTTCAAGAGGATGAAAGTTGTTATAAACATGCTAGTGGGTTATTAGAAAACAAGAACAGACATTTAAGACTAATTCCATCAGTGTTTCAGAGTGCAGACCATCATGCACAAAACAATGAGTTGTTTTCATTTCAAAATAAGTTTACCAATGAACAGACTTGATTTTTGTAAACACAGCTTTTTTAAACACTGATGCGCAAGTGTATTTGATGTGGCTCTTTAATTTGCAGACATTAGAAGTAATCTGAAATAGAAAACAAGAATTCTAAATAAGCTGTTGCAATATTAAAATGCTAGATGAGATTGTGTTAATGAGCCACAAATGCAAACTCATACAAAACCTTTGAGAATACAGCTGTGTGGCCTACATTCCCCTCACTCTCTATTCTATTAAAACTGTATACACTGAGGAAGGACAAGTGAACATGTTACCATGGTGATCAGAACAGCCTTATCAAAGTTACAACATCATTTACTATGTAGAAAGGTTTCCCTAAAAGACCTTATTAAACAAGAAGAAACACAATGATTTTTTTTTTAAAGTTTTCAGAAAACAATTTTTTGTTCCACTTATAATAAGGTATCTGATATATAGGGCCTTTCATTTTCAGTTGTTATTTTATTTAATTTTTCCCAGGAATTTATCAGTGTTTATTACCACAACAACAAAAACAGGTGAAAATCAGTGCAAAAAAATCTAGCTCCTAATGAAGTCAATGACAAAACTTCTATTAGGGGAACAGATAGCTCAGTGGTTTGAGCATTGGCCTCCTAAACCCAGGGTTGTAAGTTCAATCCTTCAAGGGGCCATTTAGGGATCTGGGACAAAAATCTGTCAGGGGATTAGTCCTGCTTTGAGCAGCGGGTTGGACAAGATGACCTCCTGTGGTCTCTTCCAATCCTGATATTCTATTGACTTCAATGGGAACAGGATTTGGCTGAAGCCTTACGCTTTCACACAGTGAGAACATTCTATGCAATGAACCAGCGTGTTAAGACAGCACAGAACATCTAAACCTATAGAAGTCTTCTGGCACATTCTTCAAGGCACTGTGACAGACATCTGCATTTACCATTCCCAATGCCTTGACGTTTTGTTCTGGAGGGATTGTATAGATAGGATCAGATATTGAAAAATAAGCAATACAGCAGTGGTTATTTCAGTGTGGGTGCACAGACTGTAAAAGTAAACATTTAATTAAGGTGAAAGATATACCACTCATGCTCAGTACATCATCCTCATCTTCTTCTAGATGCATCTATTTTAAATAAAGTATTTATATTTCACACATTCCTCACTGAGGGCTTACACGAGGGCAGGTTTGAGGCTTTAAAGTCTATGTTGCAATCAGCAGCAAGTATTAGCTAAGGGCCTACTCTACTTCTGTTCAAAAGCAGCAGCATAACGTGCTCCATAGAACAGCCAAACTGAAAGAATGAACAAGGATTTACTCAAAGCTTCCTACAAGTTTATATCATTACAATTTTAGAATGGGAGGTAAATGGCTTTTTGTATTTCTATAAGCCTTCTTGGTGCAGAGTTAAGCTAAAGGAAAAAAGCAAGCCCTAGATTGTGTGCTCCTTTATTTTCTTCAGCAAAGGAAATTTCAGACTCACAATGTTGCTTAATTCCACCAAGTTTTAAAGTAAAATTTGCTACAGTGTTCACTAAACATCCACATTTATAAATACCATTTACTGTACAGGATTGACCTTTCCAAGCAGCATTACAGCAGTAGCTGACGTTCTGCTTCAAGAGAGGTCATTCTGCCTTTGTTAGATATAAATTTGTAAAGGCAAATGAAAATAAATTACTCACCTTTCTAAGAAAATGAAAATTAAAAATAGGTTCAAGAATATGTATGACTGATTTTGGTCTCAGAAAAATCTATGACTGGCAAAGATATCTACCATTTAATATTATATTTGGTTCTTTCATTAAAAACCAAAACAATCTTTATTGATAACTGAAATTATTAAACTTACGCATTGGCAGGAAAGTGAGGATATCCTAAATCTGCATGTAAACCACTTATTTACCATAAAAATGTATTGTGCTTCTAAAAAGATTGTAACTGTGGGTTTAATTGTTGATAACTCAGGGAAAATCTAATGCTAAAAGCATGCACCATCAGTAATGGATTTTCACAAATGACATTTTTAATTACAAACTGACTCAAAGGATAGTACAAAAGAATTTCTTCTCCCTGAAGGGATTTTCAGATGCAGGCACTGGTATAATAAGGGGATCTTCTCCAATATGAGCATCACAGTATGCCAATAAATCAGCTGCAGCCTTGGATACCTATTGGAGAAAAGAAAGTGATAACCATTATTAAACTTGTGATACTGAAATAGTCAGCGTTGTTTAAACATTCCCATTAAGCATAAAATATCAGAAGTCCCCCTTATGAAAGCAGCAGATGATCAGCGTATCCACTTTTCAAGGTATTAGACCAAAGGTCTGAACCTGCTCTTACTAGGCCAGATCATTCTTTTACACTGTTTTCCAACATAGGGGATAGGAAGCAGTCTTGATTCATGGAGTTTCTTCCTAACTGTTTCCTCAGGGGCAAACAGTGAGTTTAATACCCTTTGTGAAGTCACCAATTAATGTGATAAATATAGCATTAATTATAATCTGAATCTTAGAGTAAATTGTCTTAACATTTATTTGTACTTATTCTTTCATATTCATGGGATAAATCTAAATCTTCCAAAATACGCAGGTAAAAGTTTTACTTTTTTCTGTCCTTATGGAAAAGTCTGATAGAAATTTAACAGAAAATGAAAACCTTTCTTATAGGGGTTTTTGAACTATACTACACAATTTAATAGATATCTACCTCCCTGTTATACAATTTTGTGAACATTAACCTTTCTATGTGTTTTAGCCACTCTATTGGAATGTATGTAGAGTGATTTTTATAAAGCCTATTGGTTTCATACCTATCAAATTCTATAATTTTTCCATACAGATGTACCACTCTCCTCAATTTAGTGCTACACAAAACACATACCGATTTGTGTGCTGGGGTCAATTACAATATATTGATTTCCATTTCATGCAAAAATGTTCCATCATTAGCGGAAATCCTTCAACATTACTCTATTAAGTCTCAACAGGTTTCTTTACTGGAGGACTTTAATGGGAGCTAAGGATGCCCAGCGCCTTGGAGAATGAGGCCCAATATGAGTATTAATTGTTAGCCTTCAGGATGCATTGTAAGTCTCACTTATTTTCCTTAGGCCTTTGTGATAGGGCTATGGCACCTAATCATCCTGTGTCACAAAGTATGTGGAGTATTTTTGTATCCTTTGACTGCCTGGCTGGCTATTTCTACTACGTGAGTTGAGCCATTTAAATTTTTCTTTTTGTTTTTTTTAAAGATTATTGTATCTTAAGTATTGGGACAGTGCCCAGAGCTTCGGATAGGTGCTCTTTTTGTCAGTCAAGCTATATTAAAATAATGGTGTCCAAATAAAGGACAATGATGTGCCAAATTCTCCCTTCAATTATAGACTGAGCTCAGTATGATTGCACCTGTATAAACGAGAGGAGAATTTGAGCCTAAATATCTTATGTTCTCTAAAGAATTTGTAATCAGCCTCAAAACTCTAGCCTGCTCATGCATAGCTTCCTTTGGCAAGCGCCCAAACCTCCAGAGGGCTTTGGATCAGGCCCATAACATCAATGGGAACCTTTCCAATGACTTCAATAAGCTTTTAATCATGCTCCATATGAACTTTCCAATCCGTTTTCATATCAAGGAACAATTTATTCCATACAATTTTGTACTAACTAAAACATGGTGATCTGCTAGAAAACTTAAAACCGACCAAATATTTATGATTGGAATCCCATTACAGACTCCACTCCTTAGCTGAAGAAATCAAAATGTTAAAGTCACGATAACTAGTTTGTAGCAAGTGAACCATGCCGAGAGAGAGAAGGTTGGGCAGAGGCATTACACATGAACAACGAATCACTGGGGCAATACATAACTAGGAAAAACAGTATTACATAGGGCAGGAAAAAAGTTCAGTTGAGCAAATCTTGAGGGGAAAGAGGTCTGCAGAAAGGAATAGTACTTTAGAAAAAGAAACAGGTCAGACAACAGGAAAATAAAATGGGTGAGAAAGGAAGAAAGTAAAAGAGGTGGAAGGAGACTGTTTCCCTATTATTTTCAGACTCCCTCAAATATCTACTGGGTGAGATGTGGCAAAAGAAAAGATGATTTTTCACTTTCTTCTGGAGGTGGTCAGGGATCGGACAAGTCTGAATTGTAATAACCAAAGAGAATTGCAGAATCTTTTCAGCAAATTCTGATGGGATTTTCATTTAAATTCACTGGAGAATTTAAAGAGACTCTACAAGGAGCCTTGCTGTGTATATTAAGGACAAGATCATTGCCCACACTCCAGAAAGGCAAGCCAGAAGATGGCACAATGAGCTCTCCCTTACTAATGACCCTTGCAGGAACTGTGCAAAGTACAACTTTGTGTTTCATTGAATGGTAGGCAAATTACTCTGGCTAATGGGTAGGCCATGGCCCTAGAGGGAATGTATGCTACTGCATTCTGGAGCATAAGGAGAAATGAGTGTGTTGTCCCGGATTACAACTTGGCTGATCTCTCCGCTTTTCCATTCTCACTCCTAATCAGACTCAACTTCACCTCACAATCCTCAAGGCAGAGTTCTCCCCTAACTCACTGAGCTCGTCCTGAATTCACTTGTGTAAATTTAACCCTCAAAGCCAGATCTGCCTCCACAGACATCAAATCCATTACTCTGTAAGGTTATGTCATGTGCCTCAAATAACTTCACTACTGTAAAGAGCTATTACATAGTAAATAAATCTTTAAGCCTACCTCCACAACAAGCTGAAATAAAGTTTAGCTAAAGATGCTTGGTGGGTTCATTCTGAATTATTAAACAGCAGAATAAGAAGACATTTTACCCATGAAGCCGATTCTCCATTACATTTAGGGCCTGATCCTGCAAGCCCAGCATGCACAGAAATGACATTGACTTCAGTGAGAGTTCTGTACACAGGGGACTGATCTTTCTGTAACTGTCTGCTGCCTATCATAGACGGTCAATTTATGGAAGGTAACAAATCTGAACATTAAAAAAACCCACAGATTTCCACTGGATGGGAAAGGAAAGAATAGTTTTCTACTATCACCTTTTGAGAAAAATAAAATAATGTAATTCTACAGCCCTACCACACAAACACCAATGTGACTGAATATGAAGACTGGGAATGATGGCAGAAGTTCCAACTTCTAGAATGCTGATGGGTTAGAATGTTGATTGGTTACAAGTTCTTTATATGGCATGATGTCTGAGAGCACAGTGATATGCACGGTCACAGCAATTCAAGATGAAAACACCTATTACTGAGTCCATCCCTAGGCTAAGGCATGATATAATTCCCACACCTAACTTATAAACCAATTTCTGAATAGGAAAATGGAACACTTCCAGAAACAGAGAGTTGGCGTACCTTTCAACAGCATATTAAAACAACACTTCAGATTTACTAACATCAGAACAAGAATCACAAGTGAGTTGTAGACTCACTACAGTATGATGCAACAGTACCCACTTACAACAAGCAACGAAGCAGAACAGGCCAACATTTCAGCTCAATGATTGTCACAAGCTAAAACCTCCATCTTCTTCCCCATACCAAGCCCAATAACTTTTTTTATGGGGGAACCCCCCCCCCTCAGGTTTACACTGCATTAGGGCTGTTGGAGTAGCTCCCTGGCAGCTATAGAGCTACAGCAGTTGACTATTACAACAATAGCAAAAAAGTTAGTGGTCATACTCCAACAGCACTAAGTCACATCAGGGTGAGCTTCTATAGGTTACGGACATATTTCTGTCAGCACCCAAGAGGTGTGCTGCAACAGCCTACTAATGCATACCCTGCTGTGCCTTATTTTTATATGTAATGTACTGTGTCATTATCACATTTGAAATACAGGAAATGTTAAATAAAGGACATGATTTTAAACTTTAATAACAGTTGCTCACCTTAAAATATTCAAGCTGAATGCTGCTTGGCAGTTTCTGTTCAATGTTGCATGGCTCAGGACTACTTTTATCAATATAAAAAAAATCAAGTGAACCTAACAAATGATTTGCATCACATCCTTCCCTATTTCCCCAATAAAACTGTGGCTTCTGTTTCATAAAAACTCATTTACATCTGCCACAGAAATGGCTAAAATAATCAGAATTCATCGGTCAAACTGAAGTCTAACAAAGTTAACAACACGAGTGCTTCCTTAACACCTCCCCTTTTTTACTGTATTAAAATATGTATTTGCCCAATCTCCCATTTTACATATCATGCTTTTCTACTCCCTTTAGGATAAAGGGAGTACCTAGTTGTCAAAGTTATCAAATAGTTGTGATGCTGAAAACAACTGGCAGCCTCAGGAGGACTGTGGAATTTTACCATTACATTTCAGAACAACAGAGGTGATTAAAACAGCCCAAGTTAGAATGTAATCCTGTTAGCTAGCTGTACTATAATTATAAGCTTCAAATGACAAGGGAAAATGCTGCAATTACAATGTCATCTGCCTTGTCATAGATTGTGACTAATTACTATCATTGCTATGACACCCACTCCGCTTATTCCTTTGCATTCAAAAATCAACAGATCCACACACATTTCTCAGCAACCCCGCCGCTTATCTCATAACATTATTCAGAGGCAGTTAGGGATATTTTCTACTTCCTTTTGAAAAAAAGGAAACAAAGTAATAGCTGATACTGTATGATACTTAAGTGTTTCAGCATTCCTTCTTGCTGAATTTTTCTACTCATGAAGGTGAAGAGCTCAAACAGAACTCAGAGCCTCTATTCATGGGACAACTATGGTGCAGCCAGTTGCAGCACTACATTCTCTTAACCTCTCTCAATTTCGATGACCTTCCTGGTTAGCAGGAATCAGATCTTCCATAGGCACCAGTAGTTGTTCTTGGGGCGTCTCTTAGGTAGGAGCCATTATCTATATCAGCATCCTGATTCCATGCTGTGGGATCGATCCTCACCTTCTGTAGTCAGACGACACCAAACTCAGTTTACTATTCTTCTACTTACATATACTTCGGTATGCATCCGAAGAAGTGGGTTGTAGCCCACGAAAGCTTATGCTCTAATAAATTTGTTAGTCTCTAAGGTGCCACAAGTACTCCTGTTCTTTTTGCGGATACAGACTAACACGGCTGCTACTCTGAAACCTATTCTTCTACTGTAACTCATTCTTCAGGCTTATCATATGC